TGCAAACCATTGCATTCTGTTGTTATGCAGACTTTACACAGTGTCCCAACTTTTTTGGAATTGGGGTTGTAACCTTGTGGCTTACAAAATCAAGGTCTAATGAAAGGTCATCCATTCAGGGATGGAATTGCTGCAGATCGTATTTCATTATACCGGGCTCTAAGGTAACCTAATGCATTTTACCTGATCTTGATCTGTACAGCAGGTTGTGTATCTGTAGCTTTATAATGAAAGATAATCTGTTCATTTACTGCAGACTTCAGCCTTTGACAAAACAAATTTAGTGGCGTTTGGAATACTGTTTATGGTAAGCTACACTGTAGTACTGTGCGTACTTTGGCAAACTGTGAGAAACATTGTAGAAAAATGTGCTTAACAAACTGAAAAACATACAGTACATGTGGTTGCTTTTAAAGGAAGTATTGAAAGCTTCCGAAGAAATTTAGGTTCAACAGCCATATGTGCACCTTGGAATCTTTGCCAGAGAAACACGTGCCTTAAATTTGTGTCTAAAGATAAATCGTTCCATGAATCCATAATATAGCTTTATAGCACAAAGGGAACCTGACCATTCCAAGGTATGCAGTAATGGATTATTATTATAATATCACAACCTAATTTCTTGATGGTAAGGAAGTGTGTAGGATTGCTGCTGGTCCAGGCAGTAGCATAAATCAATTTCAAAATGACCAATTGACAGTGGCAGCTACAGCTTGGCATCAGTTCCGTTTTACATGTTTGGTGCTTTCCTGATCTTTTTTGATGTTTTGCAGCTCTAAAATTAAATTACCATTCCAAGGGAGTGTATTACATGCTGCCAAAAAACTTCTACCTGTGATGTTGCGGGTTCCTAAACTACTTGACCCAGCAGCATTTTTGGTTACCTATTCCTTTGGGTGGGCTTGAGCATTTTTTATTTTATTTTTTTTTGTCGAGTTTGGCAGAAAAACAAATAGAAAATATTTCTTGTGTAAGCCATTGGGTGAGACAGCCAATGGGAATGGTGTGACCAGGTTTAGTTGCATTACACAGAACTGAGAGGGGTTCTAACATCCCATGGCTTCTGTTGAGCCGGCTGATATTTGGCCTGTGTGTACCACCCTTAAAGGTTCCCTTACCTGTAGCCTATTTTTAGGGGATTTAAAGGAAAAGGGAACTGTGACCACTGGGGCCAGGGACTTCTTTTTCTGTGTGTAAGGCCCATTAAAAAGACTGGGCTGCCTACCACACAACTCAGGTTGCAATGTTCTGAGCATAGCCTCAGACTTTTCAGCCTTCACATCACAATTCCATTAATAAAGGTTATCCCCCCTGCACATCACCCCCTTAATATGACCCTTCTGCCCCCCCCACATTTGTTTTCAGCCCCCCCCTTTATATTGCTCCCTATTCCTTTACATTCCAATCCACAGCCCTTTCATACAGTATCACAGCCCCTTCACATTTCTGTCCTCAGCCCCCCTTTTATATCAGCCTTTCTCCTCCTTCGTCCCCATCCTTCACAGCAGTGCCCTTTCACCTGTCCTGCCATAGACAGGGCTGAGGATGGGAGACACAGCAGGCTCGGGAATGAATTGGGAGGCAGGACAACCTAGCAACCAATCGCCCCCTGCTTAATTTGGCAGCTCCTGCCCTCATTCAGTACTATCATGCCTCCTGGTGTCTGTGAGTTTATCGGTGGTGACGACGGTTGAGGGCAAAAACTAGCTCCTAAATGGTAGGACTGTGATTGTCCAGGCGGGACTCGGACTGCGGTCTGCTATTTTTAGTGAAGCCTGGCTAAGATTATAAATCATTTGCATATAACAACTGTTGTCCAGGTGCCTCACCAGTCACAACTTTATGGAAAAGTGGAAAAAGAAAACCTCCGTTAACTAAAATGTGCATGACAATTCGCCTACAGTCAAACAATAGGCATATGGGAGACTCCAAATGTAGCTGAATAAGTTTTTAACAATAGTAAAGTACAGTAATACCTCGGTTTACAAACACCTTGGTTAACTTAATTTTCCCTTTACAAATGAAAATCCATTGAAAATAATGCCAGTTTCGATTTTTTTTTTTTTTTTTTTTTTCTTCACAATACGAAGTGTATGTCGGTGCTGATTTTTAAAGGCAATTGCCGGCGTTATTTTTATTTTTTCTTCACTATAGCTCACATAATTAGCTGTCGCTTTCCTCAGAGTTAATGGAAACTTTATTTCCTTGAGTTAAGAGAAACAATGTTTCCTTTTTAGTTTCTTAAAAGAAACAAACTAAAAAAATGACTTTCTTTTAGGTGGTGGGGAAAGTGACAGCTAAATTTCTGAGCTATAGCGAAGAAAAAAAAAAAAAAAAGCTGTAATTACATTTAAAAACCAGCACCATAATAAATAAAACAGCGTGGGGTCCCCCTTCCCATCCATACCAACACCTTTGGGTCTGGTATGTTTTTTGAGGGGAACTCCCACGCCAAAGTGTAAAAAAAAAAACCAAAAAACCCATAAATCCGTAGCAAACCCCTTCTCCAAGCGTGCAGCTCCGCAGGTAAGGATGGGAACAAGGGCCTCTTCCCCACAACCCTGGATGGTAGTTGTGGGGGTCTCTGGGCAGGGGGCTTATTGGATCCCGCCCCCCCCCATGTGAATGAGTATGGGGTACATTAGTCCCGCTAACTCATTCACAAAAACCAGTGTAGTGTGAAAAAAAGACAGGACACGGTCTTTGACAAGTCCTTTTGTTATGAAAAGAAAAAACTAAGCGTGTCCCCTGCAGTAATCCAACGTCAATCACGATGCCCTCCATTGCTGCTGCCGACCCGAAAAAAGAATTATAAAAAAAAGGCTCCACTTCCGATTATGGCCATCTGCCTGCTCAGATGGTTTGACAGTTCTTAAATAGGTAAGGGGCGGGGCCATCAAAGTGACATCAATGATGTTACATGGGGCAGGGTCACTCGGGTGATGTCCCTGGGTGGCCCCGCCCCATATCTATTTAAGATCTGTAAAACCACCGGAGCAGGCAGATGGCTGGAAGCCATCGTTGGAAGCAGAGCTTTTTTTTTTTTTAATTCTTTTTTCGGGGCGGTGATGGCGGGCATCATGATTGACGTTGGATCTACTGCGGGACATTCTCTTATTTTTATTTTTTTTTTTCCTTTATTGTCTTGTCAAAGACCTTTATTTTTTTTTTTTTTTTTTTCTTCACATGAGGCAGGGGTCGGGATCTAGGGGCCCCCTTGTTAATGGGGGCTTCTAGATTCCGATAAGCCCCCTGTCCACAGACCCCCACAATCACTGGCCGGTGTTGTGGGGAAGAAACCCTTGTCCCCATCAACATGTGGACAAGGTGCTTTGGAGGGGGGAACCCCCCTGCCCCTGCACCCCCCCATGTTGAGGGCATGTGGCCTGGTATGGTTCGTCGGGGGGGCGCTTGCTTGTCCCGATTACCCCCCCTTCCTTTCCTTACCTTCCAGGCTCTATGCTCGGATAAGGGTTCTGTATAGATTTTGGGGGAACCCCCACACTTTTTTTTTTTTTTTTCCTTTTAAATTAATTTTGGCATGAGAGTTCCCCCCTCAAATCCTTGCTAGACCTGGGCTTGGTATGGATGGGAGGGGGGACCCCATGTCGTTTAATTTTTTTAATTTTTTAAATTGCCGGCAATTCTTTTACATTCAGCGGTCAGTGCGGGACCCCGCTGACAGCTGAAACATTAACACATGGTTGTCCCTACTAAAATACTGCATTACTTGATAAAATAACTCCTGTGGTATTTTAGTAGCGTTTACTTTTTTATGACCTCGAACGGATTAATTGGTTTTCAATCCATTCCTGTGGGAAACGACATTTCGGTTTACGAACGTTTCACTATACAAAAAGTCATTCAGAACTAATTAAATTCATAAGCTGAGGTATTACTGTACTTTGTAAACCTAGCAATGCATGTTATAATAAATGAACCATCTGCACAAGGAAGTGTGGTGGCAGCATCATGCTATAGAGGAATTCTCTGCAGCAGGCCCTGAAAACTTGTGAGGTTAGACTAGAATGAATAAAGCAAAATACATGAAAAACCTAATACAGTTTTTGTAAGTAACCTGAGACTTGGGAGGTAATTCTTTAAAGACAGTGCATGAAGCCAAAGCCTGGAACCGGTTGTATATTACTGCACTATGAGTGGCACCTCCTTTATTTTGCTTGAACAAACATTGACCCTAAACATCCGGGACGGCTTGATGAGACCTGTGCGGTACACTTGGTTCCATATAGACACAAGAGTCTGGATAATATATACTGAGTGTGTTATGACCCCCTCTGTAGTGAAGGGGTCTAGAGATCTGGTAAGCCTTGGATACTACGGTGGTGGCTATTTATGTTGGTGGTTATGTTGGAATGAAGATTTTTCACTGTTCACAGAAATCAGGGGACTGGTTTACCCTCTATGGACTGTTTTGTGATGTTTTTCATTTTTGTTTATCTTTGAGCACTATTTATTTATGCAGTATTGTATATACATAATAATTATTTGTTTGCAATTGATTTTTTTTTTTGTTTGCAAATTTTATATTTTGATTTGTTACTGAGGGGGGATATCCTCTAGGTGTGTTTGCAGCTTTGCACAGCAAGAGTGGGGTGTTTGCACAGTGCATTTATTTTATTCATAGTAGATTTCTCTCATGATCATTTTGTAACATGCACATCTGTATTAAGAAAGCAATCTGTAACAAGGTGCCTTCATGGTATGACACTTTGTACATATTGTGTAGGGTAAGATGGATTGGACATTCAAATTGTGTTTCACGTAGGGTTGCTGGTTACAGCTATGACTCTGTTGCAGGTCTTTAGCCTGTACTTTGCTCTAATGATGCAGTTCTAAAGCACCCTCCTCTAGGTACTAGGTATCTGTTTACTTCATGTCATATGACTAATCTGGTGATTGTATGTCACTCACTACATGACCTCCTCTTCCTTTTTTTTTCTCTTTTTTTTTTTTTTTTTTTTTTCCTCTTTTTAAACTAGGCCTCTTGGAAACAAATGCTTTTGAAGTGAAAATAAAAGATGACTCCAATAAGACCTGTATATATGCCAACTTGAGAGTTAATTTCACAATAGCGTATAACACCACCAATGGCACATCTGTAAGTATACTTTTGTTTGAAAGCCTTTGGAATATTCAGCAGTTGTCTGAAATAGGACATGAATGATAAATTAAAGGATAAAAATCAAATTTGTCAGTTTGGTTTACTGTTAAGACTTTTAAACATAGCACCACATTTTTAAATTTGCTTCATTATCCAAAACACTTAAATAGGGGTTGTATGCTCATTGTAGATAACTTTGCATATGCCATTACTGACCAAGTTTTGCCAGTTGGTGCACTACCCACGATGTAACATCACACTTCTGTTTTGGAAGTCATGTTCTGTCTGCAAACCAATGAGTGCACCAATGTTGACCTCCTTTTCAGATTTAAAGTGATTCTAAAGGCTTATTTGTTTTAAAGAAAAAATAACAAACATGTCTATACTTACCTGGTGTGTGCAGTGGTTTTTCACAGAGCAGCCTGGACCCTCTTCTTGGGTCCCCCACAGGCTCTCTTGGCCCCTCCCTCCTGTCAGATGCCCCCAGGCTGCTTGCTATGGGCTCCCCCCTCGTTCTTCTCCGCCCTCCCCCCCCCCCTCGTTCTTCTCCGCCCTCCTCTCCCCCGCCCCCCCCCCCCCCCCTCGTTCTTCTCCGCCCCCCCCCCCCGTTCTTCTCCGCCCTCCCCCCCCCCGTTCTTCTCCGCCCTCCCCCCCCCCCCCCCCCCCGTTCTTCTCCGCCCTCCCCCCCCCCTCGTTTCTTCTCCCCCCCCCCCCGTTCTTCCCCCCCCCCCCCCCCCGTTCTTCTCCGCCGACCCCCCCCCCCCCCCCCCCCTCGTTCTTCTCCGCCCTCCCCCCCCCTCGTTCTTCTCCGCCCTCCCCCCCCCCTCGTTCTTCCCCCGCCCTCCCCCCCCCCCCCTCGTTCTTCTCCGCCCCCCCCCCCCCTCGTTCTTCTCCGCCCCCTCCCCCCCCCCTCGCTCTTCTCCGACTTTCCCCCTCCCTCGCTCTTCCCGCCCCCCCCTCGCTCTTCTCCGCCTTTCTCCCCTCCCCCCCTCGCTCTTCTCCGCCTCTTCTTCCCCCTCCCCCCTCGCTCTTCTCCGCCTTCTCCCCCCTCCCTCGCTCTTCTCCGCCTTCTCCCCCTCCCTCGCTCTTCTCCGCCTTCTCCCCCCTCCCTCGCTCTTCCGCCTCCCCCCTCCCTCGCTCTCCCCCTCCCCCCTCCCTCCCGCCTTCTCCCCCCTCCCCTCGCTCTTCTCCGCCTTCTCCCCCCTCCCTCGCTCTTCTCCGCCCTCCCCCCCCTCCCTCGCTCTTCTCCGCCTTCTCCCCCCTCCCCCCTCCCTCGCTCTTCTCCTCTCCCCTCCCCGCTCTTCTCCCCTTCCCCCCCTCCCTCGCTCTTCTCCGCCTTCGCCCCCCCTCTCCCCCCTCCCTCGCTCTTCTCCGCCTTCCCCCGCTCTTCTCCCCCTCTCCCCCCCTCCCTCGCTCTTCTCCGCCTTCTCCCCCCTCCCTCGCTCTTCTCCGCCTTCTCCCCCCTCCCCCCCTCCTCTTCCTCGCTCTCTCCGCCTTCTCCCCCCCCTTCTCCGCCTTCTCCCCCTCCTCTTCTCCGCCTTCTCCCCCCTCCCTCGCTCTTCTCCGCCTTCCCCCCCTCCCTCGCTCCTCCCTCTCTTCCGCCCTTCTCCCCCCTCCCTCGCTCTTCTCCGCCCCCCCCCCCCCTCCCCCCCCCCGCTCCGCTCTTCTCCCCCCTCCCGCCCCCCCCCCCCCTCGCTCTTCTCCCCGCCTTCTCCCCCCCCCCCCCCTCCGCTCTCCTCCTCTCCTCGCCCTCCCCCTCCCCCCCCCTCGCTCTTCTCCGCCCTCCCTCCCTCCCCCCCTCGCTCTTCTCCGCCCTCCCCCTCCCCCCCTCGCTCTTCTCCGCCCTCCCACCTCCCCCCCTCCCCCCCTCCCACCTCCCCCCCTCGCTCTTCTCCTCCGCCCTCCCACCTCCCCCCCTCGCTCTTCTCCTTGGCTGGCTGTGCCAGCGAGAAGAGGGAGTCCTGGGATAGCCGAGACTCCAGTGCATATCGTTGGATCGAGAGGGGGCTTAGGTGAGTATGGGGGGGGGGGGGGGGGGCTGGGGGTGATGCTGCACACAGTATTTTTTACCTTCATGCATAGAAGGTAAAGAACCGTGAGCCTTTAGAATCACTTCAAAGTGGAATTCCTGTAATCAATGTGAGGTATATATGTGTGGGTTTTTTTTTTTTTTTTGGGGGGGGGGGGGGGTGTTTGGGCTTTTAGCATTGCGTTGCCCTATTGAACAATTGTAACCAAATTGTACTTGCTTCCTATCCTGGGAATCACAGAGGAGGTCAGAGGAAGTGATGGGAATTGATTGGGTAGAACAAGTAACTCTTCCTCACTGTGTTCTAAATGTTAAAAATATTTTTGGTTATCAACTGGAAATTTCTGATGATGCTTGGCATACTGCTGGCAAAGGTATCTATTCTTTCCAATGATTATGTGTAAGAGGTTTTTTTTTTGTTTTTGTTTTTTTTTATTTATTTTTTGTATTTTTGCAGAAAAGTGTAACCTTTGTAGCACCTGACAATGTCACCACTGAAGGCAGCAGCTGTGGGCAAAGTGATGCAGGTCCTTTGCTAAATGTTCACTTTGGCAATGGACACGCCTGGAGTCTGAACTTCACAAAAAATGACAAAGATTACAGAGGCAGCATCCTCAACTTCACTTACAACATTAGTGACTCCATATTGTTTCCAAATGCAAAGGAAAGAGGTAAGTCCTCCCCTTTTTTTTTTTTTTTTTTTTTTTTTTTTTTTTTTGTTTAACCAGGTGTTGTTCCAAACAGAAAGGACATCCACCCTTCTACAGAAAAAAAGTGTAAACATAAAAAAAATTTGAAAGAGTCTCTGTCCCCCTGTGCTCACCTAAAAGGCAAACACATACGTAGGTCAAACATGCATATGTAAACACTGTTTGCATCACACATGTGAGGTATTGCTGTGAACGATATAGCAAGAACAACAATTCTAACACAAGACCTCCTGTGTAACTTTAAACTGGTAACCTATAAATGCTTTTCAAGCATCATCTATGGAGATTTTTTTTTTTTTTTTTTTGTAAGTACCATAGTTTGTAAGCATTCCGTGAGCATGCAGTTTTTTTAAAACCTGACATGTTTGGTATCAATTTACTTGGCGTAACATCTTTTATGTTTTACCAAATAATTGGGTATTCTATTGTTTTTTTTGCATTCACATTTAATTAAAGTGTATTTAAAAAATGTGTTTGAAAAACCGCCGCACAAATATCATGTAATTCTAAAAAAAATTGCAACACCCACCATTCTTAAGGCCTGTGCTTAAAAAATTTTTGTGGGTTCTAAGTTATTTTTTAGCAAAAAAAAGCGGATTGTTGCATTATGTGAGAAGTGTCACAATGGGCTTGGGAAGCAAGTAGTTAAAAGATATTTTTACCTTTTTTAGTTCTAAAAAATAAATGCACATTTCTTTAGTCATCTTCCAGAATGGCACACCTAAGAGATGACTAGCTCCACCTGACGGGAAACACAATATAAAATGATATTTTTAAATTCCATGCCCTTCCCTCCAATCCTCAGTTTTCGACTGTCTCCCTGGCAGCGAAACATGTGTGCGTTTTTTTTTTTTTTTTTTTTTTTTTTTCTGGGGCCAGAAGATCCACGTGCACCCCCCCCCCCCCCCAAGCTGGGGAGGGCATGCTGTATATCCGGGGTCACTTACCCACGGGGCTCCCAGTCTGTAGGAGCTCCCGGGGCACGGGAGGTGTGCCGGCATTCCAGGAATAGGAAGGAACAGCAGGGAGGCTTGGCCAGGAAAGGACCTGGCTTAGACTTTTACCTTGCACATTTGACTGCCGGCTGGTGATGTGCAGAGGGCGTGGCAGAATTTTCTGTCAGCTCTGTGCAGGACCGGACATGGGAGCGAGGCTGCAGAATGTGGAACTGTCCAAGAGATCGCCCACAAGACACTGAAGTATAAAGTAACTACCTTGCAATCTTTTAGGACATCCATGGAGGTGGATACACGACTCTCTAGGGAAGGTTCCTCTTCCCAGGAGGGGACTTGATGGGGAAGTAGTGGAGGTGGGGGGGCCTGGGACCCTCATATTCTCAGGTCACAGAGGAGGAAGACTTAGAGGAGGCTCTGACCAAAGCTTCCTGTAAGAGGGGGGGGGGGGAAGATTTGGAAGGTGCTAGCCATGCTAGCGAGAAATCCAGACTTGGGTAGACACCTTTTTTTGGTAGAGGATATGGAGGGGCTCCTAAGTGCCATTGATGCCTCAGAGGACATCCCAGAACCACCAATGCAGGTCTCAGCCCAAGATAAGATGTACAGGGGGTTAGTTAGACCTTAGACTAGGGTACTACCCATGCATCAAACTCTCCAAAGATATTGTTTTGAGAGAGTGGAAGGATCCTGAGAGAGGTTTTAAAATTAAAAAAACATGGAAGAGGAGGAAGATAAATTCTTCAAGACTCCTAAACTAGACACTGTTTTATCGAAAATGTCAAAAAAAAAAAAAAAAAAAAAAAAAAATCTGTAGAACTTGGGATGCCAATCCTGCTACTATGGCCCCAGCCGTGGTATCTGCCTGCATCGCTAGGAATGCTGATGCTTTGATGAATAGAGTAATTCCCCATGTGTCTCGGGGTACCAAAAAAAGGGGGGAACCCCAGAGAGAAGAGGTGTTAGAATCCCTGGAGGTGGTCAGTAAGGCAGTCACCTACTTAGCAGACACTTAGGACATCGGCTAAATCAGCAGTGCTTCTAAACTCAGCCTGGAGGGCAGTATGGGTTATGGCTTGGGAGGGCGATCAGATGGCAAAAGCCTGACTCTGTGGTCTGCACTTTGAGGGTTCCTTACTGTTTGGTTCAGGGCTGGACTAGGTGTTGAGGTCTGCCGAAAAGGGGAAAAAGTTCCCCATCAAGGCCAAAAGATAAGGGGAAGATGTGTTTTTTGAGCCCCTCTAGTCAGGGCCAGCAAAGATTTAGGAAGGACTCAATTTAGGAAATGGGCCAACAAGGGTAGATTGAAAGGGAGCTTCCTTTTTTTTTTTTCTGGCTCAAAAACCACCAGTAAAGACCCCAAATGACATAGATCTCAGGGTGGGCGGAAGGCTTTTTTTTTTTTTTTTTTGTGTGTTGACTTATCCCCCAGAGACAGGACAAGGGCAGAGGGTCTCCTTGGAAGGGATCAGAGTTTTAGCGGAACGAGAAGATTGTCCTGGTGCCAGCGGATCAGCTTTTCCGGGAGTTTTATTCCCGCATCCTTGTGGTCCCAAAGCCCTCTGGGAAATTCCACTTGATCATAAACCTAAAGAAGGTTGAACAGTTTCCTGCGATACAAAAACTTTCTGTATGGAAAGTATTAAGGAAACATCTGCTTGTGAGAGTGTTTATGGTCACTCTGGATCTCAGGGACCCCTACTCCACATTCCCATTGCCTCGGAATACCAAGCCTTCTTGCAGTTCGCCATTTTCATGAAATGGGGTCAGTCATTGGCAGTTCCAAGCCCTTCCTTTTGGGCTGGCGGCCAGTCTGCGAATATTTACCAAACTCTCGGCCAAGGTGGTAGCCTGTTTGCACCTTCAGGGGATTTTCGTCATCCCTTACCTAGACAATCTGATGATCTATGGCCTCTCATGGCAGCAAGTCTTGGAGGACCTGGAGAAAGTGATCCTCGCCTTGGAATCTTTGGGGGTGTAAGTCCTCATTGACTCTCTCACAAACCAAGGTGTTCCTGGGGTATGCAGTGGACTCGAGTTCAGAAGGTCTTCTTACCGCAAGAGAAGATTGAAAAAGTAGTGGGGCTGTCTCCGGGTTGGTAGCGGTTCCAGATTGCTCCTGGAGGCACATCATGAGAGTCCTAGGATGTAAAAAGCATGACTCTGTGGTCTGCCCTTTTTGAGGGTTCCTTACTGTTTGGTTCAGGGCTGGACCAGGTGGTGTTGTCTGCCGAAAAGGAGAAAACGTTCCCTGTCAAGGCCAAAAAAGATAAGGGGAAGTTTTTTTTTTTTTTTTTTTTTTTTTTTTGAGCCCCGCTTAGTCAGGGCTTTTTTTTTTTTTTTTTCTGGCCCCAAAACCACCAGTAAGGACCTCAAATGACATGGTCCTTTCGGGTAGAGCTAGTCATCTCTCAAGTGTGCCATCCTGCAAGATTTCCCAGAAACACGGTTACCGGCAAGTGTAACTGGTACTTTTTTGCAGGTAAAAAAAAAATGTGCATTTATTCTATTTGTGTGCCAGAGCCTGTAAAGCATTGCACCAGTGATCAGATCGCTGGTGCCATGCAGGTCTGCAGATTTGTCAGTAAATCTGCTTGCTTGTATGGGATGTACGAGCAAACACATACAGTCAGGTCCATAAATATTGGGACATCGACACAATTCTAACATTTTTGGCTCTATACACCACCACAATGGATTTGAAATGAAACGAACAAGATGTGCTTTAACTGCAGACTGTCAGCTTTAATTTGAGGGTATTTACATCCAAATCAGGTGAACGGTGTAGGAATTACAACAGTTTGCATATGTGCCTCCCACTTGTTAAGGGACCAAAAGTAATGGGACAATTGGCTTCTCGGCTGTTCCATGGCCAGGTGTGTGTTATTCCCTCATTATCCCAATTACAATGAGCAGATAAAAGGTCCAGAGTTAATTTCAAGTGTGCTATTTGCATTTGGAATCTGTTGCTGTCAACTCTCAAGATGAGATCCAAAGAGCTGTCACTATCAGTGAAGCAAGCCATCATTAGGCTGAAAAAACAAAACAAACCCATCAGAGAGATAGCAAAAACATTAGGCGTGGCCAAAACAACTGTTTGGAACATTCTTAAAAAGAAGGAACGCATCGGTGAGCTCAGCAACACCAAAAGACCCGGAAGACCATGGAAAACAACTGTGGTGGATGACCGAAGAATTCTTTCCCTGGTGAAGAAAACACCCTTCACAACAGTTGGCCAGATCAAGAACACTCTCCAGGAGGTAGGTGTATGTGTGTCAAAGTCAACAATCAAGAGAAGACTTCACCAGAGTGAATACAGAGGGTTTACCAGAAGATGTAAACCATTGGTGAGCCTCAAAAACAGGAAGGCCAGATTAGAGTTTGCCAAACGATATCTAAAATAGCCTTCACAGTTCTGGAACAACATCCTATGGACAGATGAGACCAAGATCAACTTGTACCAGAGTGATGGGAAGAGAAGAGTATGGAGAAGGAAAGGAACTGCTCATGATCCTAAGCATACCACCTCATCAGTGAAGCATGGTGGTGGTAGTGTCATGGCGTGGGCATGTATGGCTGCCAATGGAACTGGTTCTCTTGTATTTATTGATGATGTGACTGCTGACAAAAGCAGCAGGATGAATTCTGAAGTGTTTCAGGAATATTATCTGCTCATATTCAGCCAAATGCTTCAGAACTCATTGGACGCCGCTTCACAGTGCAGATGGACAATGACCCAAAGCATACTGCAAAAGCAACCAAAGAGTTTTTTAAGGGAAAAAGAAGTGGAATGTTATGCAATGGCCAAGTCAATCACCTGACCTGAATCCGATTGAGCATGTATTTCACTTGCTGAAGACAAAACTGAAGGGTAAATGCTCCAAGAACAAGTAGGAACTGAAGACAGTTGCAGTAGAGACCTGGCAGAGCATCACCAGGGATGAAACCCAGCGTCTGGTGATGTCTATGCGTTCCAGACTTGAGGCTGTAATTGACTGCAAAGGATTTGCAACCAAGTATTAAAAAGTGAAAGTTTGATTTATGATTATTATTCTGTCCCATTACCTTTTGGTCCCTTAATAAGTGGGAGGCACACATATGTAAACTGTTGTAATTCCTACACCGTTCACCTGATTTGGATGTAAATACCCTCAAATTAAACCTGACAGACTGCAGTTAAAGCACATCTTGTTTGTTTCATTTCAAATCCATTGTGGTGGTGTATAGAGCCAAAAATGTTAGAATTGTGTCAATGTCCCAATATTTATGGACCTGACTGTATACTGACAGGAAGAATGAATGAACTATCAGGTCACAGTGCCGTGGTAATTCATTGAGGACTACAAGCCGACAGCAGCTGAAGACTTAGTCTCTCGTTTTTAAAATTTGACAGATAACTAGAAGATTCCCCCCACTAACTGTCAAAGTGGGGGCCGGTCTGATCGTAACATGTGACACCCTGAATATGGGTGCAACATGTTACAAAAGGAGAACTTGTCTTTTAAAGTGCAACTCAAGTTCTACTTTAACAGAGAGCAGGCAGACGTTTTATTGCATGTCTTTTCTGCAGTAAAATGCCCCTACCTGTCTGCTCATTCTTTTCCATTGCTGCAATGAGCTGCTCAGCTTACAGCGCCAGGCTGGTCTGAGAGCGCAAGAGTGATGTCATTCCACACCGGCCAATGAAGATTCCGACGAGAGACTGTTGGACAGGTAAGCATTAACGCCTCTGTTCTGCTTTACCATGGAATTTGTCCACTCGGGGCAAAGCAACAGATTTCCTGCTGAATTCCACAGACAAATATGTTTCTTCTTTTGCTCCCCCATTGCTTTTTTTCAGCTGCATGGAGTGAAACTAAAGCCTTGTATAAGCTATAAGGCACTAGAATTGTTGCTCACATGGGGCTATGGACCCTCCCTGTGTGCCTGGCTATTGTCATGACCAGTAAGATAGAAAGGTCAACAGAGGCAGCCTGCATATTCCTTCAGTACAGTTGTCTGTCAGCCCACCTTTTGTCAACAAGCTTACAGTGTTTGATTGGCAGCCTTGTGATACGGCCATATAGACTCAAAATTTCAATTCCTGAGCTACTAGCCAGGCCTTAAGGGTTACTCGCCACTAGTTCCCCACCCAACCCCTACCCTGCTCTGCCCCTAATCCCACCCCTAAACACTCCCTCGTAAATTAGCTCATAGGGGAGACGGCGAGGGACTACATTTATGCCTGAACCCAGTGTAAAATTGTATAATATTGCAGTGCTGCTCCACTCTACTTAAACCAGCTCTGAAAGATCAAGTCCATAATCCTCCTTTTGAAAGTACAACCAAATGACAGAAGGCATCAGCACATCCAATTTCCAAAATAAAAATTAGCCTTACAAACAGGTAACTACTCAAGATTAATGGAGGGCAATAAACCATTAATAAGTCAGTGAAACTGCTATTCAGAATGAGCAGTTAAGCTTAAATAGCTGAACAGATGCTACTGAAGATCTTTAGCAGCCATGTGTCACTGGTCACATGGAAAGCCTGCCAACTGCAGCCTCTTCAAGAGATCTGATCGGTGTGTTCAGGCAGTGGGCAGCTTAGGTTAGGCAGCACTGTCCACTGCATGGAGAAGTGTCTGATGATGGCATCCAGCTTGGGACCCCACACCAGGCTCCAATCTGGCACATATAGTGGATACACCTAGGGGCAGGCAGAGGAGCCGGGGGCCATGGAGACTGGAGAGACTGACGGCTCAGAGTACCTCACATGTGCCCTGAGCTCTGCCCAACTCCACCCAACTCCACTCTGCCAGGTATTGTGCAGAGGATTAACCGATAGCAGCAGTAGACACTGAGTCACTATATACTGGTGAAACTCGAAAAATTAGAATATCGTGCAAAAGTTCATTTATTTCAGTAATGCAACTTAAAAGGTGAAACTAATATATGAGAGATACTCATTACATGCAAAGCAAGATAGTTCAAGGCGAGATTTGTCATAATTGTGATGATTTTGGCTTACAGCTCAAGAATACCCTAAATCCACAATCTCAGAAAATTAGAATATTGTGACAAGGTGCAATATTCTCGGCTCAAAGTGTCCCACTCTAATCAGCTAATTAAGCCATAACACCTGCAAAGGGTTCCTGGGCCTTTAAATGGTTTCTCAGTCTGGTTCAGTAGGAATCACAATCATGGGAAAGACTGACCTGACAGTTGTGCAGAAAACCATCATTGACACCCTCCATAAGGAGGGAAAGCCTCAAAGGATAACTGCAAAAGAAGTTGGATGTCCCTAAAGTGCTGTATCAAAGCACATTAATAGAAAGTTATGTGGAGGGAAAAGTGTGGAAGAAAAAGGTGCACAAGCAACAGGGATGACCGCATCCTGGAGAGGATTGTCAGGAAAAGGCCATTCAAAAGTGTTGGGGACTTTCACAAGGAGTGGACTGAGGCTGGGGTCAGTGCATCAAGAGCCACCACACAGACGGATCCTGGACATGGGCTTCAAATGTCGTATTCCTCCTGAACAACAAACAACGTCAGAAGCGTCTTACCTGGGCTAAAGAAAAACAGACCTGGTCTGTTGCTCAGTGGTCCAAAGTCCTCTTTTCTGATGAGAGCAACTTTTGCATTCCATTTGGAAACCAAGGACCCAGAGTATGGAGGAAGAATGGAGAGGCACACACTGCAAGATGCTTGAAGTCCAGTGTGAAGTTTCCACAGTCTGTGTTGATTTGGGGAGCCATGTCATCTGCTGGTGTTGGTCCACTGTGCTTCATTAAGTCCAGGGTCAACGCAGCCGTCTACCAGGGGATTTTGGAGCACTTCATGCTTCCTTCCACAGACCAGCTTTATGGGGATGCTGACTTCATTTTCCAGCAGGACTTGGCACCTGCCCACACTGCCAAAAGCACCAAAACCTTGTTCAATGACCGTGGGATTACTGTGCTTGATTGGCCAGCAAACTCGCCTGACCTGAACCCCATAGAGAATCTATGGGGCATTGCCAAGAGAAAGATGAGAGACATGAGACTGAACAATCCAGAAGAGCTGAAGGCCATTATTGAAGCATCCTGGTCTTCCATAACACCTCAGCAGTGCCACAGGCTGATAGCTTCCATACCACTCCGCATTGAGGCAGTAATTGCTGCAAAAGGGGCCCAAACCAAGTACTGAGTACATATGCATGCTTATACTTTTCAGAGGTCAGATATTGTTCTGTGTACAATCCTTGTTTTATTGATTGCATGTAATCTAATTTTCTGAGATTGTGGATTTGGGGTTTTCATGAGCTGTAAGCCATAATCACCACAATTATGACAAATCACAGCTTGAACTATCTTGCTTTGCATGTAATGAGTCTATCTCATATATTAGTTTCACCTTTTAAGTTGCGTTACTGAAACAAACAAACTTTTGCATCATATTCTAATTTTTCGAGTTTCACCTGTATACCCCCCCCCCCCCCCCTCTCTCTCTCTCTCTCTCTCTCTCTCTCTCTCTCTCTCTCTCTCTCTCTCTCTCTCTCTCTCTCTCTCTCTCTCTCTCTCTCTCTCTCTCTCTCTCTCTCTCTCTCTCTCTCTCTCTCTCTCTCTCTCTCTCTCTCTCTCTCTCTCCCTTTTTTTTTTTTTTTTTTCCCCTCAGTTTGCAAAAATAAACTCCAATGTGATGTAAAGCTAAAAAAAAGGCCACTGTTCTCTGCTATTGCCTAGCATTGACTACCCTCTTGTGGCAGATCATTGCAATTACATATTTACTTTTTGTTCTTAACTTGCTCATAAATGGTATTCTGTCCTCCATTGTCTGAAATGCAATAGTATTAATTGCTTACATCTCTAATTTTTTGTTTCTTCTCAGGGCTATTGGCTTCTGTTACAAACACAAGCTTCTTTGTTCCAGTCCCACTGAATGCATCATATAAATGTTCACATGAGGACACTGTGACTACAGAGCGTGTTTTGCAGTTATATTGGAATGTCACACTGCAAGCTTATATAGAGAATTCCACTTTAGGCAAAGGTGAGCAAAAATTTACAGGAATGTTTGGTATTTTTATCTGGGGATCTCCTCTTGCCTTTCTAACATAATTTGGGTTCACTACTCCCTTAGGTTGAAGGTCTGAATGTCTGCAGGAAAAATTGATACTTTCCACTGTGGGCCATTTTATATTCACCCTCTATTCTTCCAGTGCAGTACTGGAAAATAACACTGATAAGAAGTGCCTAAGTTTCACCATGCTTATGATGTATCGTAAAGGATTAATTCACCTTTTGGAACATGTTACATGTTCCACCCATGTTTAGGATGGAACATGTGACCTGTTGTAGCAGCAGAGCTCCGCACGGCCACATCATTTACCATTCCCTGTGAATGCACGAGCTACAACTATTATCAGCCATTGTGGCTGAAGGCTTGTAGTTCTGAATGGACTGTGAGGTCACTGATGAGTGGCCTTGTAGTTCATTCTCTAAAAATAATAAATAGTGTATAAATGTGTGAGTTATCGAGCGCACCAATAAAAAGCTGCTGATGCACAAAAAGGAAACACAAAGCCTTTCTAGGAATATGACATGAAAATAGGGTGTGCAGCTCTATACAAATAAAACACACTATCTAAAGTATGACAAAATATGACAGAAATGGAAAAGTCCTATAAACTGAATGTTAAACAGTCCAAGGTAGTAAAATATCAGTCCAAAAGGTATACTCCAGTGATGGAGTATAAATAACTTCAATCCAAATGGGTATATTCCAGCATCCTAACATGAAGGTGTAGAAAAATTGCCCACTCACCGGAAGTGCAATTTAATGTGCACATAGAAATTCCATGAAGCTGGAGGTCCCATGAAGGTATAGCCTGATGATAAAGGTGCCCTCTGGTGGTAAATGGGGTGACGGCTGCCAGAGAAGTTGATCTGGACCAATATCCCAAATTGTCCTGCCTGGGTGGACTCCTAGAATGCTGGGCTGAGATGTGGAGGCTCAGTGCCAGGTGATAGAGATGAAACCGCTCATGGTGTAGTATTATAAAAAGTATTTATTGAGTATATATCATTATGATAAAACAGTAAAACGTACAGGGTTAGAGTACCAGTATAGGTATAGTGTAAATGAGCTCTTTAAATGCACTGACCAGTGAATAAAAATGATGGCCACCGGACCTCCTGATCCGGTGGCGTAACGTTAAGGCGTCAAGGCATGCAGAGGCTCCTCCTATAGGAGGAGGCATATTCACACCCTACCAGCTTTGATTCTCATTGCTAGTCTGATTGCCAGTTCGGCTAATGTTGGGAGAACTCTGCATTCTAGTCTGTGCCCTGCTGAAAGGAGTAGAAGCACCTTTTGATCTTTCTGAGATATTAGGTCATTTTTGGCTAGCGAGTGTATCTGGGAGAGTGCTTGTACAAAGCTGGAGCACAGAGGTGGCTTAAAGTGCAAGTTTAGTCAGAAAATGTAAGACCTGATAGATCACTTCAGGCTGGCCCCTTTTGCTGGTGTAGTTATGTAAACATTAAAAAGAAGTACTTATACTGTTTAAAGTCCAGTAATGCACTGTTTAGCCCTGCTTTTGCTATTTTTTTTTTTTTTTTTTTGGCACTGTGCCTAAAAGCAGAGCCACTAGAGCAGGCATCACTAAATGGCGGATCGGGGTCCAGATGCGAACAGATTCACTATCCCATCCGGACCCTTGCGGTCCCGCTATTTATGAGCCTTTTCTTCCCACAGCCGTCTTTTGATCATCCTAACAGAGCTGACAGCTGGAGACAGGACAGTTCTGGATGGAGGGCGGGAATTGAAATGTGAGGGGCTAGAGGTTGTGATGTGGGGGGGTGTGCTGAGAGCATAAAAATGGGGGGGCTGAGGACAGTAATGTCGGGGGCTAAAGACTGTGGTGTGTGTGTGAGGACATTAAAATGGGGGGCTAAGAACTATAATGTGGGGTGGCTGAGGACAGTAATGGGGGGGGGGGCCCCGAGGACAACAACATGGGGGGGCTGATGTAAAAAGGGGCAGAGTGCTATTCAGTGAAGGGGGCAGAGGACAGTACTGTGGGGGGAGGGGGGGGGTGTGGAAGTGTGAGAACACTACTGTGAAAGGGGTGGAGGGGGGTGATGTAAAGAGGGAGCTGAGGATCCTCCTCAGGGGGTGGCTTTTTTTTTTTTTTTTTTTTTTAAATCGCACCGCAGCAGCACGTGATTTTACTGCCGCTCCGGGGCTGTGCGCTTCAGCAAAATGGCATCCTCCAACAAGGAGAAACCGGAACAATGCTGGAGGCAATTTTACAGCACACTAATTTTGGTAGTATAATTATTAATGTGGAATGCATGTTGCTTGCTAAAGAACATTTATTTTCAGGCTTATCAAGTTGTGGGAAAAGTTCCACTTTAAGGCAATTGCCACAACTGATTTGGATTACTTGTTGAAGGAAACCTGTATGAATACACATTTGAAGTGGATTACTTAAAACTGATTGGAAACTTTTTTGGTACCTTGAAAGAATGTCGCAGACTTAGTGTTTTAGTTTGCTATATTTTTGTGCTTGTATAAGTTAGTGTTGCACCTTTTAATAGAGGGTGAGGATATAACAGAGTAATTCAGAGTGTTTTTATGGTTTTCATATTGGTCTTTATTCCAGATTTTCATTGCAGTGCTGACATTCCTTCCACAACATTATCACCAACTACAAACAGCACAGCTATACCAACCACAGCAACGACCCCAAAGCCAACCACTAAACCTGTGGACAAACCCACTGTTGGCAATTATTCAGTTTCAAATGGCTCAGAGACATGTTTGCTGGCTTCCATGGGTGTGCAGCTCAATGTGTCCCAGCTGGTTGAAGGAAAGGTAAGTTTAGTGTGTGTTTTTTTTTTTTTTTTTTTTTTTTTTTTTTTTTTTTTTTTCTTTCTTATCTATACATATAAAAAAAGTAATATAAATATATTCCACTGGTTTCCACTGCACACATATCAGAATAGGAGAAAGCGGCACTCACGGGTCTTGTGAGGTGTGAGCACTCACTGAAGATTTAATTTAGTTGAGGCACAAGCTCGTCTTCCAAGAATAGCTTGTGCTTCCTCGAAATGTCAGAAAGTAATGCTGTGTGCATTAACAAGGAGCTTTAAGCAGAGGTACTGCTGAAGAACTAGGTGGCTTGATGATTATTTTTTTATTTTTTTTCTGTTTATGCTGTGTGCAACTGAAACCCCCTGCGTTGGCAATTTGTGGTGGTGGTTTACAATAAAAGTTGGCCACCATTTTCCATGCTGGTGCGTTTTTTTTCCCCATGTTTCTTGCAAGGGCTGGTTCACACTGGAACAAGCGCATTCCTGCGCGGTCTTGTTTTAACAGCCCATTCATTTGAATGGGCTGCAAATTTCAGTTGAACAAGGAAAAAGTAGTGCAAGCACTACATTTCAGATTGCACTGTGGTCCATGCAGTTTAGTGGACGCAAACGCATTGTGTGTTTTGTGAGATGTGTTGGGGGTGTCATTAACAATTCATTGGCACCTGCATACTTTCTTGCATGGAACGTGCCTTTTCAGCACAGTGTTTTTTGTGTGATCTAGCTCTAAAACCGAATTATACAAATTCCATAAACTAAGTAGATGCAAGCAGGCATACATTGTGGTCCATGTGTGAACTGGTTTAAAAACTGACAATGTGAAGGAACCTTTTAGTCAGTTTTGGCCTTGATCTAGAATGTGGCAACTTTATTTTATTTACTACTTTTAGATCCTCATATCTTTAGTACAACCATTCGAATTGTGCATCACGTTTGTACTATACTACTTTAGCTTTCATTTGTGAACTTACCTGGCAATAGGGCCCTTGTAGTTCACTGGATTGCCTTTTAATACTCCCAAAATATTACTGCCAAGTATATATTGAAACTTTCTTTCAGCTAGATTTGTGTTTAGTATATTGATCATGGGTGGACTGGGCAGTTAAATGCTAAAGTTTTTTCTTTTTAGACAATTTTAAACACATATTTAGGGTATAACATGATGCCAAGTTACCAAACACCCCTACCTTTCTCCAGAATTATGGTTCTTCTCCTTGATGGGTTCTGTGACTTTTTTTAAATTTTGCACGGTTGTGCATCATTCATGCCTTGAAATTTTGACATCTGTGAATCAATAAACTAAAGGCCCATCTACCACCACAAGAGGGGGCCAACTTATCAGCGGAATACAAATGCAGTGTTTACCCCACTTGTAGTTCGTTGACACTAACTGAAAGTCTATGCCGTACAGATTTGGAGTTGGAGAAAGATAGTCTGCTGGAGCCTGTGCATTGTACCTGAAAATCATTAATTCTAGAACAACAGAGTGCAGCGCTTAGCGAAGTAAAAAAGTCACTAAATAAATGTCCACAGTAGTACACTGTACAAATACGAATTCCCACAGCTCCGTCTAATAACAGAAATGCGCACTCACCGGAAACGCATGGGTTATGCGCATGTGTGATCATGCATCACAAGCAATAGGTACATCTGAGGTCAGGCAGCCAAGCATCTCCCTCACGGTGGATCCTCACAGACTCTTAGCTCAGGTACAGGGGTCCCTTTAAGGTCAGCCCGGCGTTCCTTGTAAAAGAACTTCCTCTCAGGATGGCAAAGGTGTTTATTTCTGTGGGGGTGATTGCTCCAAAAAGGAGCCCCAGAACACAAATGCCAAAGATAGTGTAGTATGTCCAAAGTATTTATTAATTTAAAACATAACACAGGGCAGTATGCATGTCAGACTTCAAAACACAGTAAGCAGCAATACTGACCCCTTAGTAATGATGGCCGCCGGGCCTCCTCGTGGCTCCGGCGGCGGAATGACGTCACGCTCTGCGCAGCTCCTCCTTAGGCCTTTCGTGCTAGAGGCACATCATCAGAGGGGAGGCTGCACAGGAGCGTGACCGACGTCAGTGCTAGAAGTGGGGAAATCGGCACATGCGCAGTTAACCGCGGCCATTTTCCCGGAGAAAGAGAGCACTGCGCATGCGCGAACACGGCAGCGCCATTTTGCCGTGGATCCGCGATCAGGACAACAAGACGTTTACGAGATCGACTACGTGAGCATGTTTCAAACATTAAGAAGGGGTTGAGGGAGCACTCGCTATCAAATCATTACCGCCTTCACCATAATAATGATCCATCTTCATTATAGTTCATTGGCATTGATATGATCGGCAACCACTGGAGGGGTATCAATAAAACTAGGGCGGTTTCCCAAGCCGAAACCAAATGGGTGTTTGAGCTTCGCACCTTACACCCTTTAGGCCATAACATTGAGGTAGATGTCAACTGCTTCATTGCTAACAGTTGATAGGCCTATGTCTCTTCCCATTGCCATTTTATGTATATGAAGTTCGTTTATTAATTTTTTCATTTTTTATGATGTATTTATGAGTACTTTTATATCCTGCACAAGGTTGCATTTTTAGTGTGTTTTTTTTCATGTGTATGACACTCTCTGACTTTTTATTTGAATATCCATCTATCTTGATTGGATACTACTCACCGTTCCTATGATCAATTTTTATTAGTTTCCTTCTGCCCCGTTTTAACCTCCCAAATATATGGGTTGGGTAGAGGAAGGATCTTGAGGGTTTTCTAATGTATTAATTTTGGCGTTTTTTACCTCTTTTTTGCTCTTTGTTCTGAATGTATATTTGGGATATATATCTCTATCTTATATGATCTGGCAGTATAATGCTATACAGGGTATTCACTGCCAAGATCTTATATCTTATATTTTTTATGTATTTTAAGTCCTCTTATGATTTTATTTTGTGTTACCTATGCTGGGGTATCCTTCATCTTGCCGTGGTCCGTTACTAGTACTATATGCCAAACACTGTGGGGATCTTTTGTACCCTATATATGCGCACTGTTGTTGCTAAGTTATTTGCACCATCACTGTATTTAGGGAATAGTGTTTGCAAATAATTCCCTGGGGTCTGTGGCATAGTTAGCAAGCGGTACTGGGGATCGGTGTCATGAGACTTCTCTGTCTCTTCCCTGTCTTATTGTCTGATCGCGGATCCACGGCGTGTTCGCGCATGCGCAGTGCTCTCTTTCCCCGGGAAAATGGCCGCGGTTAACTGCGCATGTGCCGATTTCCCCACTTCTAGCACTGACGTCGGTCACGCTCCTGTGCAGCCTCCCCTCTGATGATGTGCCTCTAGCACGAAAGGCCTAAGGAGGAGCTGCGCAGAGCGTGACGTCATTCCGCCGCCGGAGCCACGAGGAGGCCCGGCGGCCATCATTACTAAGGGGTCAGTATTGCTGCTTACTGTGTTTTGAAGTCTGACATGCATACTGCCCTGTGTTATGTTTTAAATTAATAAATACTTTGGACATACTACACTATCTTTGGCATTTGTGTTCTGGGGCTCCTTTTTGGAGCAATCACCCCCACAGAAATAAACACCTTTGCCATCCTGAGAGGAAGTTCTTTTACAAGGAACGCCGGGCTGACCTTTAAAGGGACCCCTGTACCTGAGCTAAGAGTCTGTGAGGATCCACCGTGAGGGAGATGCTTGGCTGCCTGACCTCAGATGTACCTATTGCTTGTGATGCATGATCACACATGCGCATAACCCATGCGTTTCCGGTGAGTGCGCATTTCTGTTATTAGACGGAGCCGTGGGAATTCGTATTTGTACAGTGTACTACTGTGGACATTTATTTAGTGACTTTTTTACTTCGCTAAGCGCTGCACTCTGTTGTTCTAGAATTGTTGATATATTTTAAGGCATTGTGGTTGCCTATAGTGTTCTAGCTGCTGACATTTAAGAGAGCAGTGAGGAAACTCTACCCTTTTTACTATACCTGAAAATCATTGATCACGAATGCAATGCTTTGACATGTAAAAAAATAAAATAAATCATTTTATGCCAATGTGGATTCATTTATTTATCTTTTTGCAAAGGGTGGACTTGGCTTTTAAGTTGAACATATAACACACACTGTCAGACAATAAACGCTCAATCTGCTCCACAGTTGTTGAAGTAAATGAGCGTATGCATCTTTGTACTTTTGCTGATAAGAATTTTATCAAAACTGGAGCAGTTGTGCATGGCAACTAATTAGCTTCTATCTTTCGTTTTCAAAATGTAACAATACAAGCCAAAGATAGAAGCTAATTATTTGCCATGCGCAGCTCCTCATCCTGTGTGCTCCAATTTTAATAAGTGTTCTGCTAGCTGTGCATGTGTCTGCTAAACTAGTTCAGACAATAAGAGGCCGTGGATAACTTCTGAATCTGGGAATCTCTCTAGCTATACAGTTTTTTGCACAATCATGCAATCAAACATTTACGTTTTTAAAGAGGTATGTAAAGCAGATCTGCTCTGTCTTGCATGCTCATTTATTAAAAGTGGATTTTTTTTCTGTTTAGAATGTTTGGACTGCACTTAATATTGATCCCCACTCCACCAAGAGTTCTGGAACCTGTGGAAATGACACTGCTCTCTTAAGACTGACGAACAGCCCCACAGTTGTAGAATTTTTCTTTTTCATTGTAAGTATTTGCAATATCTCAACATGTTCAATATTTTATTGTTAAAGTGGAGTTCCACCCAAAAGTGGAAGCTCTGCTTAGCTGCCGCCTTCTTCCCCCCCCCCCCCCTCGCTGCCATATTTGGCACCTTTTGAGGGGGAGCAGGTACCTGGTTTTGACAGGTACTTGCTCCCTCTTCCAGCTCAGTTTATCAAGGTTCTGCCCCCCCCCCTTCCAGACCTCTGGGAAACTCCACTGCGGACAGAGGACTGCTGCCCATTTACAAAGTGCAGTGTGCTCAGTAGGAAACTGGCTGTGTTTTGTGTTTTTTTTTTTTTTTTTTTTTTTTGGGGGGGGGAGGGAACCCCACTTTAAGCAAATAATGGATCCCATGAAGCAGCACATCTATGCAGACCCATTGGTTAATCACCCCCATGATGGAGTGAAATGTGCTGGAGGTGTGGCCTGGTTGGAGCTCAGGCTGAGACTGCCATGCATTTTTATTACCAGTGGGTCTGCATAAATGTGTGGCTTCATTGGATCTATCCTTTGGTTAACAATTACTTGGAGCTGAGCTCCTTCCTTCGCCTGCACTCAGTGGTGGACACAGGATTGCTTTCCCGTGTAGCCTGGGCAGCACACATTTTCCGTTACTGGTTCAATATTTTGTCTTCCCTTTTTATTTGTGTTAATTTTTGGTCTTTTTACTACTTCCTTAGATTCGTAAAATATCTACTTTTCTCTCCAATTCCCTTTTTAATGTGGTAATCCTTTAATTACAGCTTTCATCTTCTAAAAATTAGAGCATAAAGGTTCCAACAGAATAAGATGCTAGCTACTAGTATCACAAGACCCCATATATTTGGTATATAGTATAGCCTGTGTAGCTCTTCAGCCACTGATTGTTAAACAGTTTTATGAAGAGTGTAGTAGTTTTCACTTGCAGCATCCTAGTGGGGGACATGCACTGGCCCTGTGGATGATTAACAAAAAGGAAAACAGTCTGACATTTTAGGGACATTTTTAGCACCATTCAAATTTAACTGGAAGCTTCATCTGGACTTTAACTTTTGCTGTGTGATATTGATTGTTTTTTATTATTCCAAATATAGAAAAAAAAGAACTTCCACCTTCAAGAAGTTAATGTGACCCTGATCAATGGTTCAGGTACAAAATCCTTTTTTCTTGTAACACCTAATTTTGCTTTCTATCTGTGATTTTGTAAATGCAGTTGTACCAATTTTGTTTCATTCTTTATATTAACCATTAAGTATAAATATGATGTTATATAGCCTGCTGCTCTACAACCGTTGCTCTGCCTGATTTGAGCATTACTTGTGAAGAATAGGCAAGTATCAGCCTGTATAGGTGGCAAAATCCAGAACTTCTGACGGTAATAAGCCCATATCCTTCCCTTTTTAAAACCTCTGCTGTGGCAGTAAAAGAAGAGGGACTTATTCACACAGGCACTTTGCATCCTGCAACATGAAGAGTATAGGGGGGGGGGGGGGGGGGGGGGGGGGGGGGGGGGGGGGGGGGGGGCAGGCTCTGGGTCTGTGGACCCGTCCCTGTGTGCCTGTCAAACTTGGTTGTATAGGTGAGTCTGCACAACCGATGCATACCAATGCAGTTTGTTTGGGCTCCTGCATGCAGCAAGGAAAAAAAAAACAAAACTGAGATACAAATGTGCTTTTATAAGCCTGGGAATTTAGCTTATAGATGCATATTGATGGCATGTTTTCACGTAAAGGGTTTTAAATCTTGTATTTTCTTTTCATTTTTCTTTATGGAAAATACAACAGGATATCTTAACAGTGGCATGTTTGGAAAATATCAATCTAGTGGATAATTTTCCTCACCAATATCCACCCAGCTGTAAATGGTTTTCAGGAGGATGGAAATTTGAGTGTTGGCAGGCTTGACCATCTCTTTATTTTTCATTTTCAAATTGCTCAGACTCATTTGCCTGTTGAAAAACATAGCAGGAATGTGTAACAAAACTAGATTTCCTCAATCTTAGGTGCAAGCTGACTTTTCTTATTGGTAGTAGAATATTGCAGTTGATATGTGATTGGTGTGATCACCACACCATAGTATCTTGCCACTTATACACTCCACAAAGAGCTTTTATATTTTTAATTAAAAATAAATCACAGTTGAACCCTCCTAATTCATTATTGTGATGCATCAGGGTGCATATAGTTATGTATTTTTTTTTTTTTTTTGAATTAATTACATTTTTTAAGTTAGCAGCAAATTGCTAGAGCATGTGAGAAACAGCCTTGTGCTGCCAGCACATAGGAATGTTGGGCTAGACTGGGGCTCTTACACTCATGGGTCTCCTGTGGTTTGACATGCCCTCCTGAGCACTACTCAAATGAACATTTTCTCTTCCTCCCTGTGAGTGTAAGACTCTCCTAATGCGGTCATTACAGTGTTTTTGTTTTTTTTTTTTTTGGTTTTTTTTTTAATTCGGCCTCATGTACACTACTGCTCCTAAACATGAGATTTTTGTGTCTTTTGCTAAAGTCCCTGAACTCAACTCGGTAAAAGCCTATGTGTCCATGCATACACAAGCTTTTACCATAGTTTAGGAGCAGCAGAGTTTAGGGGCAGTTAAACACCCCTCTTCTCAATGCAGAAGGCGATTTTTAGGCAAAATGTTTTCCTGAAAATTATTCAAGTACCGCAAAAAAAAACGTGTGTAAATACCCCTTATTGCAATGGAATTTGGCACTTGGCCATTCATTTCAATGCAAGTACTCTGGCTAATGAAATGAATAAACATTGCCAGTAGAGTTGGCGTGTAAAGCAGTTCCAGTGTACATGTAGCCTTAAAGTAGAACAAGAGGCATAATTACTGTACATGCAGCCTAGCTGCATCAAAGTAATAAACCGAGAGGGTTCAGCTGGGCTTAAATTAAATTCATTGCATGCTGTTGGGCACAAAAAAATAGTCCTGTCAGATTATTCATAAAATGGTTTTCTATTTTCTATACCGCAACTTTTTTGTTCATTATTTCACCTCCTGATTTATTGTGCATACATCATTCAACAGCTGCTCACCATAATAGAACATATACATGAGTTTTCAATGGTAATGTTTTGCTTTTTAGGCTTTTCTTATAGAACAAATGTTAATCTAAGTTTATGGGAAGCATCTTTGGGTAACTCTTACCTGTGTCGCAAGGAGCAGCTTATCACGGTCTCAGAAGACCTCTACATGAATACATTTGAAGTGAGAGTCCAGCCTTTCAGTGTACATAACTCAACATTTGGCACAGGTAAGATTGCGTGCAGACTGTGTGTATGTGTTGTATGGTTTGTGTTTTTTGATCTGAGACTCATCTGAACAAGTAGTCATTTTTAACAATTTTACGCTGCATTTATAGAGAACCAGAAAGGTTCTTCCTAACTTGTGTACCTTGTACTCCCCTTCACCCCAGAGGGTTCTGGAAATTTGGTCTGGAAATTTTTTTTATGCTGCTTTTGGGGGGCAATAACATCTGCGGTAGTAGAGTTGAAGACATTCCTAAATTCTAACTGCATTGAAGACTGTTTTTATTTACCATCCATTTAGGGACACAGAAGTATTTCACCTTTCTTATACTGAAACCTTCAGCAGGATTGGACACTAAGCAGAAAAAAACTGTAGACAAGCCCATCATAACTCTTCCTGCTACCAGCATACCTCAGTTTTTTTTGTTCTTTTTTTCACTAGTGTTAGGAAGATAAACATCTCTTCGGCTCTGCAGTGTGGAAGAATAACCTATTTCTGCTAGCTTTATACTTTTTTTTTTTTTTTTTTCCTTTGAAGATTTTGTTTTCTTCAATCATTTTTTTGATGCTAGAGCTTGCCTCTTTGATTGTACGGATCTGCTGCAGCTGTGCTCAGCCTGGCTTTTACAGTGCCGTATCTGGACCTGTAAGAGACCTTCTGGTACAGAGTTCCTCACAGGGTGTTTTTCCACCGGTGGTTGGCGGCGGACAGCTAACACACAGGTAGGGGGACAGGCTGCAGAGGAGTGGTGGGGGGGGATCCCCGTGCACAGAGAGGCGGCGTGTGCACAGGGAGCGGGGCGGGGTCCGGGGTCTGCTGTGTCAGGCAGGCTCCGGTCAGGATCTGCAGTGTGTGGGGTGCACATTGCTGGATCGCGATGGTGCCCAGGTAAGTATTTGGGGGGACTGCTGCACACAGGTTTTTCACCTTTGCACATAGAATGCAGGAAGGTAAAAAACCTTGAACCTTTACAACCACCTAAATTGTAAGTGTGTGGCAGCCTTGTCCTGAATGGAACCTTTTCTAGTTTTGCATAGGGACAAAGTGGTGTTTGAGGCTCAGGACTTCCTTCTTACCTAGAGTAGTTTTTGCCTTTCACCTTCATTAGGACATTGTTCCTCTGGCTCTCCGTCCCGCTCCAAGTAACCAAGAGGAAGTTTCCCTGTAATGTCTGGATATACAGGTGAAACTCGAAAAATGTGAATATCGTGCAAAAGTTCATTTATTTCAGTAATGCAACTTAAAAGGTGAAACTAATAAATGAGACTCATTACATGCAATGCAAGATAGTTCAAGCTGTGATTTGTCATAATTGTGATGATTATGGCTTACAGCTCATGAAAACCCCAAATCCACAATCTCAGAAAATTAGAATATTGTGAAAAGGTGCAATATTCTAGGCTCAAAGTGTCCCACTCTAATCAGCTAATTTAGCCATAACACCTGCAAAGGTTCCTGAGCCTTTATCACAATCATGGGAATCACAATCATGGGAAAGACTGTTGACCTGACAGTTGTGCAGAAAACCATCATTGACACCCTCCATAAGGAGGGAAAGCCTCAAAAGGTAATTGCAAAATAAGTTGGATGTTCCCAAAGTGCTGTATCAAAGCACATTAATAGAAAGTTATGTGGAAGGGAAAAGTGTGGAAGAAAAAGGTGCACAAGCAGCAGGGATGAGGATTGTCAGGAAAAGGCCATTCAAAAGTGTTGGGGACTTTCACAAGGAGTGGACTGAGTGCTGGAGTCAGTGCATCAAGAGCCACCACACACAGATGGATCCTGGACATGGGCTGAACAACAAACAAACAAATTGGTCCCAAAGTCCTCTTTTCTGATGAGAGCAACTTTTGCATCTCATTTGGAATCCAAGGACCCAGAGTATGGAGGAAGAATGGAGAGGCACACACTGCAAGATGCTTGAAGTCCAGAGTGACGTTTCCACAGTCTGTGTTGATTTGGGGAGCCATGTCATCTGCTGGTGTTGGTCCACTGTGCTTCATTAAGTCCAGGGTCAACGTAGCCATCTACCAGGAGATTTTGGAGCACTTCATGTTTCCTTCCGTAAATGAGCTTTATGGGGATGCTGACTTCATTTTCCAGCAGGACTTGGCACCTGCCCACACTGCCAAAAGCGCCAAAACCTTGTTCAATGACCGTGGGATTACTGTTCTTGATTGGCCAGCAAACTCGCCTGACCTGAACCCCATAGAGAATCTATGGGGCATTGCCAAGAGAAAGATGAGAGACATGAGACCGAACAATGCAGAAGAGCTGAAGGCTGCTATTGAAGCATCCTGGTCTTCCATAACACCTCAGCAGTGCCACAGGCTGATAGCTTCCATGCCACGCCGCATTGAGGCAGTAATTGCTGCAAAAGGGGTCCCAAACCAAGTACTGAGTACATATGCATGCTTATACTTTTCAGGGGTCCGATATTGTTCTATGTACAATCCTTGTTTTATTGATTGCATGTAATATTCTAATTTTCTGAGATTGTGGATTTGGGGTTTTCATGAGCTGTAAGCCATAATCCTCACAATTATGACAAATCACGGCTTGAACTATCTTGCTTTGCATGTAATGAGTCTATTTCATGTATTAGTTTCACCTTTTAAGTTGCATTTCTGAAATAAATGAACTTTTGCACAATATTCTAATTTTTCGAGTTTCACCTGTAGTTCAGGCTATCTCTCAGCCACTACTTCTTTTAGAAAAAGCTTTGTCCTGGGTTGGCCTACAGTTTTTTTTTTTTTTTTTTTTTTTTTTTTTTTTTTTTGTTTGTTTACAAATGTCCATTCCTTGTGTAGGGTGCATTATAACTTAGTGGTTCTAAAAGCTTAATGTTTTTTCCCTTCATGTATTCTATGCATGAAGCTGAAAAAAATTTGTGTTGCAGCGTCACCCTCCCAAATTCTTACCTGAGCCTCCTCTGATCCAGCAACATTCTCGACAGTCTCTGCTGTCTAGGGACTCTTCCTACTCAATGGCTGAGACAGCAATGGTAGCCGATTGGCTCCCACTCTTGCCAATTGCAGCCAGTGAGCCAATAAGAAGAGAGCTGGGGGGAGGGGGCAGGGCCAAGCCACGGCTCTATATATCTTATGGACACATAGATCAGCGGCTTAGGGACAAGCATGCAGCGGTGTCCCCAAGGCGATCACCTTTCCCTGCGGGCCCTGCTCGAGCGGGAGGAGCCAGTAGCGTGGGGACCTGAAAACAAGAGGATCGGGGCTGCTCTGTGCAAAACCACTGCACAGAGCAGGTAAGTATAGACCTGTTTTGTTACTTAAAAAAAACAAAACAAAAAAAAAGACGTTCGAGTCACAGGGTGAAAGACTAGTGTATCCTTCTGTCAATCAAAAATATTTTATGGTGAGTACAAATATTTTTTTTTTTTTTCTGCATATGTCAGTGCTTTTAGGTGTGTGTGATTTCATGCAAATACTTGGATATTTCTTGTAGCTTATTGCTCTGCCACTGTAAAAGGTTTTTTTTATTGAGTCTGCCTCCTTTTTATGGAGCATTTTTCCTTCAGTTCTGGTAAAAGTATTGACACTAGGACCAGACTGACTTGGTTATCCCAATTGCATATAGTGGACATTGGTTGCTTTCTTTGCTTTCACATATTCTCTTAAACCTTAAAAAAAACACAAGGCTAAGGGTTTACCTTTAAGAAGGTAAACCTCTCTCAAGTGTCAGGTTGTAATGTTCTCTCAAGTGTCAGGCTGCTTCTTGATTCACTATTTCTAGGCTGATTCGTCAGCTCAATTCCCAGGCCTATAGTATTAATGACAAGGGTTACTCCTTTACTGGTCAAGGCCCATTTTATCAGGAGTATCGGCGCCTTCAGGGCAATTCCGCATTAAGCTTCTATTCTTTAATTTTGTAAGGCTGCTCTCTGCTCTTTTCACATTTACAAAGTTCTACCAGGTAGCTGTTTGTGCATCTGCAACTCCAGTTTTTGTTTTCCAGGTGGCTTTGTAGTGGGGTTCTCCTCTGTTCTGTTTTTGGGTGTCTTTAGACTTGTCACTGTGTTGCCCACCCCACATTTTCAGTGCTTTGGGACTTCCCAAGTAGTCATAAATATAAAGTCCTCTGTCTGGTGACCTACAATTAAGGAATTAAGGTTTGTTGTTTACCTGTAAAATCCTTTTTTGAAGTAGATTACAGGACATGGAGATTCCTTCCCTCTTCTCTGTTCCTCATCGCTTGCTACAAAATTAAGGCTGATCTGAGCTGAGAGATGTTATACCTGGGCGAGGACTCCTGCATTGTTGTTGTTTTTTATGTCGGTGTCAGCATAAACCAGGTAGTCAAAATATATTTAAATAGTGTAGCGCTAACACCAAAAAATGCTAAACAATAAATATTAATAAAAATATACTGGCAAACAATAACACACTGTGTTCTGATCTCTCTGGATCAGTAAAGTGCAAATAAGTGATAACACAGTATATAGTGGTGCTTCGTGATATCAGAAACAATAAATATACTTAAGTTACCCCCTTTCTTAACTGACAATGGGTAATGAATGGTGATTTAATACAAAAAACGTGATCCCTTAAAAGGGAAAATGTAAGTGCTACTAGTGCAAATTTATTAAGAAGGCTTATTCCAAACAGGAGATTGAGAAGAGAATAATTGAAGTTGATAACATAGAGAGGGAGCTGTTGATGAAAGATAAATGTAAAAATGACACATTTGATAGTCAACTGGCCATTGTTCTAGATTTTAACATTCATTATAAAAAAGTCGAAAAAATCTTCAGAAGATACTGGCCTATTCTAAAATCTGATCTCATTTTAAATAAAATATTAACAGATCATCCAAAATTCATATATAGGAAAGACCCCTCTTTGAGGATGAGATTAGTGAAAAATGTATTAGATCCACCCATTAAGACAAATAAAATCACTTTTCTTGATCTTAAAGGTTTCTTCCTATGCAAATGCTATTATGCATGTAGAGAAACTAAAGGAAAGAATTTAAAACTTTAAGGCT